AAGTGAATCCAGTAGAACTTTTTATTACCTACCTGGAATGGATGGCAATATTTGAATAAACTTTTGGCTCTCAAAATGGTATCAGTGCCTATTTGTTGGTACTTTGTGCATAAGGTTGATTCAATGCAGGTGTATGAGCAGCTTCACATTCAGCAGCAACCTCAACCACCCACAGACTCATCTAAGCGTGCTCCACCTGTTCTGTGTCCTTCTGGTTGTGTATATACATGTGTGTGTGTGTGTTGTGGCGGTCTCTGTTTATAACTGCGGGAGGAAGACGGCTGTCAGGGCTCACAGTCCTCTGCTAGTTTTGGTGAACAGGTGTGAGGGGGTGGAGTCTGCAACAAACACGCCGCATCCTCCTGCCTCCCCACCAGCTTTTATCGGGTAAAAGGCCAAAAAAGGTTTTTAAAACAGCAGCTTGGTTGAGATGTCTTTCTGAATGTGGACTCAGAGGTCAGAGTTGGTTTCTCACTTTTTAAAGAATGCTGTAAGCTGAATAAACCTGGCTGCCGGTCTGGCCGTGAGCTTAACTGCTCAGGATTTAATCTGTGTTTTAGACAGCATTCTTTATTTATCAGGCAATGCTCTTTTTAATATTTCACTTTAAAGGATTTTACCAACGTCATAATGGTGGAATAGAAATGTGTTTGATAAATGTTTGAGTAGCTTTATTATATTCTGTAGGTTGATGTTGTTCTTTTCTCTTATCTTAACCTTCCTCTGGTCAGGCCTGCATGTTTCAGTGTGTGGAGGCGCTACATGTCCATCATTCAGTCTGTCAAATTAGGCGTTCCTCAGGAATATACAACACCTTTTTATTGCAGGAAGTTTTTGTTTTGTTTTATCTAGCTTCCTATAAAATAAAGCAGAACAACTGGCTGTTTTATCAGCTCTGAACCTTGGAAGGTTTAAAGATGAAGATTTTAAGTTGTCCGATTTTCTTAAAGAAATGTTGGCTAAAAGATTAAGTATAAATTGCATTTGCACACATTGACTCAAGAAGATCATTTAAGAATGACTCTAAATAAGCGTGCTTCGGTTGCACCCACGTACGGAGGCCTTAGTCCTCAACGGGGCCGACCCGGGTTCAAATCCGACCTGTGGTCCTTTGCCACCCGTCTCTTCCCCTCTACCCAAGCCCTTTTCCTGTTGGCCCACTTTAAATAAAACAGCCACTAGTGCCTTAAAACCCTAAAAAATAAAATAAAAAAATGACATTAAATAAAAAGGCCTCCTATACGTTCTTTGTTTACTCAATCGTCTTTATTTTTGCCTATGCAAAAAATTCCACATTCAACAGTTTGGGACATTTCTATTCTAGAGCAAAAAAAAGGAGACATAATTCTGAGGTTAGAAGATTTATAATCTCATTACCTTCCGTTTTGACCCGCCTCCGGAGATCAGGACCGACTTTCAGTGATTTCAGAGCAGATTTCTGGCCTTTTCCATTGACTTTAGCTACTTCAGGTGTTGATTGTAATAATGGCGGTTCCCTGAAGCTGCAGTATGGTATTCTTTGGGTGTATTTTTGGGTATTTTATTGAGTTGATGACATCACAAGAGGCACAAGATTGTTTTAAACACTATGACCGAAAATCAACTTTTTTGTAGATTGTTGAAACTTCGACTTCAATTCTTGGTCTAATTCCTTACAAGTTCCTCCTGTTTAGTTGATTTTCACCTTCTTCTTTTTTTCTTTAATCCTTACTACAATGATGTTCATGTGGATTTTAGTTTTTGTTAAGCTGGATTAATATCAGTAGTAGTAGAAGAAGTTGTCTCACTGGACCTAAAATGAGTTTGACTGAACTACAAAAAAACCTGGCTGCTTGTTTTAGTTATCCATTGAGAATAAACAGATTCAGTTATGTCAAAGGATTCACACACAGACATGTCATTTTCAGCCATTTCCTCTTGCTCTTATGAGTGCAGTGAATGTAATATGTTCCTGAGGGACAAAGAATAACTTCCACATCTCGGGGTCCAAACAGACATCTGGAATAACGCAAAACTCCAAACTGGGTGGATGATCTCATCCAGTTGTTCCTGGCAGCTGGCTAAAGAAAGCCCGCTGGTATATCAAGCTTCCTCTTCTATTCTGGAATATTATCAGTACATGTCCCTACAAGCACAGCGACCCTGGAAACCCGCCCTCCCATCCAGGACCTCGTTACCTCCTGGAGCTGTGAATTGTGTGCTGACTTTAAAGATGCTCATTTGTGGTACAGCAGAGGGTTAGGAGGGAACGATGGGTGTAAACTTGTTTAAACGCCATGTTGGTTTAGGGCCACTGTGGCCTAATGAGAGGAACTGAGTGTTAATGTTAAGCACAGCGTTTTAAGTGGGAGGAATGGTTTTAAATGTGCATCTTTTAAAGTCATAGGGAAGTCATATTTAAAAGTCAAATCATTCTGGCATAAAACATGCATATAAATGTACTCTTTATCAGATGATATTGTCCCAAAAGTAAGAAAGTTTCTATAAAAAAAAAAAAAATCCTTTCTTAAAGGCATACTATGCAACATTTTTCAGTTAATTAATGTGTTACATAACGTTTTGGATGATTAAATGAGTAATTTCAGGTCGAACAAAGGTTTTCTCGGCCACCCTGGTGGTCTGTAGGGGAAATACCGTACTTGCAATTGCAGGAGCCCTCGGCCCGCACCAACAGGCTCAGAAGTCTTGTTCATCGCGAGAGTCGGTCTTGCTTTACGGCGAGAACTGCTACACGCCCCCAGTGAAAGGCATGCTCGTTGTTAGCGCAGTGGCTCGAAAACAGCGAAAGCCAGTGTCGGAGGAGGCAAGAAAGAGAAAAAGGGCTCTCTACCACAGTAGACATGGTGATTCATTGCCTTCGCCTGTCTGCTAAGCTCAAAACAACCGCGCCTGGCTTGACGGAGAAACCAGAAGAACAGCTGAGCATATTTACGACAGTGCACTTTTACTTTCGCCCTCTGGGGGGAGCCTCGCTGGAAAATCAACACCGGTTGCATAGAATACCTTTAAATTCTGCGTACCCCCCCCCCCCCCC